CTTGCAAAATTCTACCATACGAGTTCCAGCATTATTTCTGTCACCAAGGCCAAATTTTCCAACTACCGGTGATTCTTCTTTGTTTCCATATATACATATATATGTGTGTATATGTACATATGTTATTGTTGTTGTGTTCCATCGAGTACACACACACATGCACACATATATATATATTCATTGTTGTTGTTGTTATGTACCGTCAAGTTGGCACCAAATCATAGTGACCCCTCCTTGGGTTTCCGAGGCAGTATCACTACAGAAGTAGGATTGCCCAAACTTCCTTCCAAGGAGTGACTGGTGTGTTTGAACTGCCAGCATTCTGGTTAGCAGTCAAGTGCCTTAGGCACTATGCTACCAGAGCTCCTATATATTCATTATATATATGAATTACCTTCAACAAAATTTTACTTGCGTGTGATATTAATTATATTGAACAATAATTCCCACATTCTGTTGCATCACCTTTCTTTGGAATGGACACATATATGGATCTCTTCCAGTCAGTTGACCAAGTAGTTGTCTTCCAAATTTCTTTACATAGATGAGTAAGTGCCTCCAGCATGGCATCCATTTGTTGAAACATCTCAGTGGGTATTCCATCAATTCCTGGAGATTTGTTTTTCGCCAATGCCTTCTGTGCAGTTTCAAATTCTTCCTTCTATATCATTGGTTCTTGATTATATGCCACTTCCTGAAATAGATGAACATCGACCAATTCTTTTTTGTACAGTGATTCTGTGTATTCCTTCCTTCTTCTTTTGATGCTTCCTGCATCATTCAATATTTTTCCCTAGAATCTTTCAGTATTGCAACTCGAGGCTTGGACTTTTTCTTCAGTTCTTTCAGCTTGAGAAATTCTGAGTGTGTTTCCCCATTTGGGGTTTCTAACTCCAAGTCTTTGCACATTTCTTCATTTTATATATGTATATATAAATACATACACATACACACAAATGTGTGTATACACACATGTATGTGTGTATACATATATATATGAATATATATATATGTATATGTGTGCATGTGTATATATATATATGTATATATTTCACAAAGGATATTTCTATATATGTATCCATGTATCCTGTAAATATATCCATGAATATAGTAGAGCATACATGGGGAAAAGGTATGAAAACTTCTTAGACGTAAATGAATACCTTGAAGGAATGGGTCACTGGGCCTGGGGGCTCAGGACCACAGTCTGTGGGGACATCAAGGTTAATTGACACAACATAGTCCATGAAGACAATATTTTACATCCTACTTTGGTGAGTAGTGACTGGGGTCTTTAAAGCTTGCAAGTGGCCATCTAAGGTACAACTATTGGTGTCTCCCACTCTGGAGCAAAGAAGAGTGGAGAAAATCAAAGATCCAAGGAAACAATTAGTCTCAGGGACTGGTGGACCACATTAACTGTAGCCTCCACAATCCTGAGACCAGAACTAGATGGTGCCAGGCAACTACTGCTGATCCCTCTGAACGGATCACAATAGGAGGTCTTAGATAGAGTGGGAGAAAATTGTGGAACAAAACTCAAAATAATAAAAGTTATCAGGCTTACTGGTCTGGTAGGGACTGGTGAGACCTGGACACTATGGCCCACTGACACCCTTCAGGCCTGGAACTGAACGTACCCCCATGACTCAACTTTCAGGCAAATAATACACCTATAAGGTGAATAATAAGGCCACAGAGATATGCACTCCTTCGAACAATCAACCATATGAGATCACAAGGGTAGTATTTGCCCAGGGATAAAGCTCAGAAGGCAGGAAGGGATAGGAAAGAAGGTGAAGGGAAATAGTAAACACAGGGTGGAACTGGGAAGAGTACTGTTAAATTGTGGATATTTCAATCAGTGTCACAAAGCAAAAATTGTATGGATTGCTACATGGGAAATCAATTTGCTCTGTAAACTTTCACCCAAATCATATTAAAAAGTTATATTTTAAAAAGGCCATATTTTCCAACTACCAATCCCTCTTTGTTTCCAGTTTTAATATTCCAATCATCAGTAATTATTCAAAGAATCTTGAGTGCATGTTTGATCAGTTTCATACTGCAAAGTTGCTAAGAACCTTCAATCTTCGGCATTAGTGGTTCGTGCATAAATTTGGATAATAGTTGTATTAACTGGTCTTCCTTTTAGGTGTATGGATATTATTCTGTCACTGACAACTTTGTACTTCTTGATTTGTTGTTGTTATGTGCTATAGAGTCAGACCTGACTCATAGCGACCTCTCTGTGGGTTGCCAAGGCAGTATCACTACAGAAGTAGATTGCCCAACCTTCCTTCTGAGGAGTGACTGGTGGGTTTGAACCACCAGCCTTCTGGTTAGCAGTCATGTGCCTTAGGCACCATGCTACCAGAGCTCCCTGTACTTCTTGATAGATCTTGAAATGTTCTTTTTGATGAACCACTGCACCGCCAGAGAGCACCTTAATCTCTATAATAGTTTCTATAATATATTAAGTGACTAATTATAGCTCTTGGTTTGTTTCCAATTCCCCTGTTAGATTAAATTTCTTAAGAACTATAATTTATTGAGCATTTGTTATATACTGGTTATTGGGCTAGCCATTTAATATGCTTTATAGCAGTGTCTCCCAAACTTGAGAGTTACCTAGAAAGTTTATGAAAACACAGATTGCTGCCATACCCCTGTTTCTGATTAAGTAGGTTTAGAGTGGGGCTCTAGAATTTGTATTGCTAACAGTGCCTGGGTGATGCTGATGCAACTATTAGGGACCATATGTTTTAAGTTATTAATGTAAAATTTATGGTAGATTGTAAATAAAGTGAAAGCTCAGGGAGCTTAAGTTACCTGCTTACAGTCTCACAGTTTTTGAGAGGTGGAAGCAGAATTCCAAGCTTTTCCTGCCCTTGAATCTTTCCACTGTCTCATAGTGGGCTGAGGCCAGAAAGAAGGCAGGCAGGTACGGTCCATGTCTTGATCTTCCCAGAATCTCCACTGCTTAGCAGGTTGATTGACACTTCAGAGGAACACAATGCATTTCCTTGAATGCATTGCCCCGTGTCCCTAGCAATCCAGGCAACTCCTCACTGTATTTTCTGTAATAATATTGTCGACTGCATAGATTTAAAACATTTGAAATAGAACAATGTGCCTTGTTTTAAAAAATTAAAATGAAATTTCAGAGTGGAAGCAGTGGCTCATAGACTCATTTGGTATGAGAGGATTGGTGACTCCCTATTGTCTTTTATTTAATAGGCTGAAAAAACTTTGTGAACTCTATGCCAAAGTTTTGGGATCGCAAGAAGCTCTGCAGGTAAGGCTGATTCCTTACCCTTTCTTAAGTGGACAGATCATGGTTTTCCCTCAAAGACCTGGCAGGAACAACCAAAATCAGTTGCTGTTGAGTCCACTCTGAGTCATGATGACCCCATATATGTCAGAGTAGAACTGTGCTTCACAGGGTTTCAGTGGTTGATTTTTCAGAAATAGATGGCCAGGCTTTTCTTCTGAAGTACCTTTGGGTGCACTAGAACCTCCAATCTTTCAGTTAACAGCAGAGCACCTTAACTCGTTGCACCTACACAAATAGGACCCTAGAGCCCATGTTCTCCCTTCCCATATTTGCAGACAGCTTCACAGGGCTGGTCAATTTTTAAGTAGTCTCAGAGAGTATGGCCCTGGGTGTGCTGGCAGCAGGCAGGTCGGGAATCCTGCAACATTGTTCTGCATTGGGTGATGCTGCAATTGTTCTTCAATTCGGATCTCTTCCTGGAACAAAGCATTGGGCTACTATGCTTTGTCATGGACTAAAAGAAGGGAGTTTCTGCTCCCGGTAAGTCGCCTGGGTGGTACAAACAGTTACTGTGCTTGGCCGCTAACCAAAAGTGTCGAGTTTCTAGTCCATCTAGAGGTGCCTCCGAAGAAAGGCCTGGGTATCTACTTCCAAAATATCTGCCATTAAAAGCCCCATGGAACACAGTTCTACTCTGACATGCATAGTGCTTTCATAAGTCAGAGCTGAGACTATGGCAACTTAACTGATCTGCATGTAGCAAGAGCCTAGATCCTGGCAGCCAGTACAGGGATGAGAAAGAGCTTTTCTTTTCTCTGATGGTGTTGTACAAAGATAGAGTCTCATTGATGTACATAAATTAACATATAAGAAGGCCTTAAGACCTATCACACCTCCCACTGGCTGCCTGGTAAAAATTGGATGAGCTTCCTCCATCCCTCATATCTCCCTCTTTCTTGCCTTGTTTTACTCTTGAATGTTAGAGGTGAAGGGAAGACATACTCAGGATGAGCCCTGTTGGCTTAATTTCCTAGAAGCCTTTGCACATAGCCTGCCAGAGCACTCAATGTATTCACAACCAGTAGCAAAACCTACCTACTTTATCAATATTTAAAGTGATGAATTACTATTCTGGTTACATTCACCAGACTGCTGAGTTTTTAATGTTTTGACATGGATCATATCACCTTTTGAAAGTGATGATTAAATCCAGTTATCCATGAAGCATCTGAAGACTGGAGGCTGGTGTACAAATGAGCAGTTGAGAAAAATCTAATGAGGGAGCTAAAAATGTTTAACTCCTTAAACCTCTAAAACCCACATCTCTCCGCAGTACACACCACAATATAAATGAGCAGCTACATGGATTAGTTCTATTACTCTTAACACTTACCTTGCTCAACTTTGGAGTGGCTTGTTTCCTCATGGCCAAGTTATCATGGTTTTTGAATTTGTCATTTTTGTACATTCTTTCCAACCAAGATTTTTTACCTCCATTGCAAATGTTCTGTACTTAATATAGGTGAAATATGCACTCTTGGGCTCTTTTGAAGTTCTCACTCAGCAAATGAATAAAAAACAATTAGTTGATGAGTTTGGAGGAGAATGTAACATTAATGAGGAATATGTTTTGTTTTCCTTTTTTGCTTTCATATACCACTAATCAAGTTTAAGTATAGGCATACCTTTTAGGCTTTTTTCTGTAGGGTAAGTGAGGGAAGTAACTAACCCCCAAATACATACATACTTTTTTGTTGTTTTTGTTTAAAGAAATCACTTAAAAATCTCCGTTAAAATTTGTAATTTGTCTGTTTAAAAATATTGTTCAAGATATTTTGCCCCGGTAGATAGTCAAGCTTTCTTTTGTAACTGAGTTTCCTTATTCAACCTATGGGATGGTTGTTGGATAACCCAAGGTGAAGAGGATATCAGTGGTTCTCAGATTTCCAAAGAAATTGATCAGTTTTCATTGTGAAAGTCTCCTTTCCTAAGAAAAATGTGGATGATTAATTCCTGATGATAAAAATGAGCTAGTCCTGCCTCTGTGTGTACTTGGCATGGAGCAGGGCTTTGCTTTACTGTGCATTGGTGTCTATTGCATGGAAGGAAGCAATTCCCAGGAGCAAAGAAAGGTGAAAGATAAAGTCACATATTTCTTCTGATTGACTGGAAACAACCATAGAAAGATGTTCACGAGATGCTTGTAGCCCTCAGGTGCAGAGGGCTGGGGCATGATGTGTAATAACACTACAAGAGGCCTGGACCCACTTATACATCTTAAGGATGGGCTCATAATATTGCAGATAGTTGTTGTTGTTATGTTCCATCAAGTCAGCCCTGACTCATAGCGACCCCTCCTTGGGTTTCCGAGGCAGTATCACTAC